AAATGGAGAAGGGGGAGGGGAGAGAGAGATTTTAGGAGTACTTTTAGATAATTGGAATGAAAAATGAGAAAAATGGGGAGAGAAAGAGGGGTGCTGACTTGACAAATTGAGAATTATAGGAATGGGAAAAGGGAGAAAGTAGGAAAAGAGGTTTGGAGAAAGGAGAGGCCATTTGATGTGGACTGCTTTGCTTTCCTGATCATTGATTGTATCAAATTTAAATTGAATTCAAATGATGTCAACTGGCAAAGTTGATAAGTTCTTTGGCTGATTCAAGGGGAAACTTGGGATCAAATCTTGCTACCACCGAGGTTAGTGAGGTTTCGAGGGGGGGCTATCCCCATTGTGTAGCTCCATAAAGCTTTAAGAACGGTAAGAAGAAAGCTTTCAAATTGCAATTGAAAAGTAATAAAATTAATACACATTATTAAAAATGAACTAAATATGACTTTTTATATTGTATTATCATGAACAAAGTGTATTGAAAATAACTTATATGAAACTTAAATCAACAATTCTTTGAAAAAAGCCCACCATTTATACTAATTTTACTAATGAATATATTAAAGAAGTGTATGTGTATGTATACTTTGGATAAATATCCTTACTTTTTTTAGGCATATAGGTCACATGGTTTTTAGGGACTGTTAATGGATCAGGCCCGACCTGATGGACTCAACTTGATTGGGTCAATTCTGGTTCCAAGATCTAGTACCAATGGGCTGGTTTTAGTTTATAATGCACTGTCTTGATTATTATTGGTTCGTAACCAGTTCTATCTAGGAATGGCAATAGGGTGAGATGGGGAAGGGGAGCCCCACTCCCCATCCCCGTCCCTATGAAAATCTCTATCCTCATCCCCATGGGGATTCCCAGTCTCTATGATTTTTTTATAATGTCAGTCATTTTTGTTTTTGTTTATTTATTTATCTAAAAAAACAAAAATAAATAAGATCCAAATATATTCAAACATACTCAACCATATTTTTAAAAATATTAATATACATACATACATACATACATTATAATGGGTAGGGATCTGGGGCCCCACGGGGTGGGGAGTACTCTCCCCATCCTTGCCTTGTCCCTGCCAATAGGGATGAAAGTTTCCCAATCCCTATCCTTGTGGGGGAAAATATCCCCATCCTCGCCCCATTTTGGGGCAGGTCCCCATAAGGATCAAGGAAATGGGGAAACTACCATCCCTAGTTCTATCTAGTCCTAAACTAACTTAAACCCGACCCACTCCATATATTGTATCCATCCAATGGGTCAGACCCGACCGTCCCAAGAATTGGTCGATTTGGTTCTGGGTCCTTAATATTTTTTGTCGATCGGTTTGGGTTTTGCTTGAACCCAACCCAGACCCGACCAATTGACAACCCTAATAACTTTATCCCTATATGTAGGCCTATGCGAGACCCAATCCACATATTGTATCCATCCAATGGGTCAGACCCAACCGTCCCAAGAATTGGTTGGTTTGGTTCTAGGTCCTTAATATTTCTTGTCGATCGGTTCGGGTTTTGCTTGAACCCAACCCAAACCCGACCAATTGACAACCCTAATAACTTTATCCCTGTATGTAGGCCTATGCGGGACTTAGATAGCAGGTTAGTATCAAGGAACACACAAGGACCACTCGCACACAAGATAGAGAGCTTGCCTTTTTTTTTTCTCTTTTTTTTTTTATTTTTAGTTGAACCCATGCATATTTGATGTTGAGGCTGTGTTTTGTTGCACTGCAAATAAATTTGCACCGATGCAAAACTATGGCAGTGCAAATGATTTAAGTGTAAATTCTGACTTATTTTATTTCAAATTTTAGCTTATTTTGTTTGATTACTATAAAACAGAATAAAATAAAATACAAAACAAAATTAAGCAAAAATTTACACTTTTTAAATTTGCATTTCCATGCATTTATACTAATACAAATAAAATTGCACAGCAACGTAACCAAACATAGCCTAAGGGATGCCTTTTGACTAATTCGACATCGAGTGGATTGGCTTAGGGTAAGTTATCTGCCTTTTAGGTTTCAGCCAAATACTTATACCAACCTTCAAAAGCATAATGTCCCTTATAGAAAGAGAAATGAATAATGAAAAATTATTTTACTCAGCGTCTCAACCGTATTGCATAATAAAATACAAACATGGTCTTTAAAATACATACTTGCATTGAAATTAATGAATGTAACCCCATTGAAATTAATCATGTTTCACCATTTGTTCTATCCAGTGACATATTTATTATTAACTTATGGACCCTTATTAAATTACTTCAGATTACTTCCACCTAAGTCTTTTTTGATGGGTTGCCCATAGATCTTTTAGTCTATTCAATTTTTAACAAATTTGTATTTTTTTTTTTTTATGGGTTGCCCATGTTTCACCATTTTTTTCCTGGTTTTCTGTTTCTCTTGATTTAATGAAGCTTTGATTTTACCAAAAAACGTAAAAACAACTCAATTAAAGCTTCCAAATGAGCCCTTAATCTTTCCATTACACCATATGCAGTTTTTAAACTAGAGGATATGCAACCTTTAATCTGGGCCTGTCCAACATTGAATTTGGCCCAACAAGGATATTTATTGACATTTGAAATGTTTGAATGTATTTATGTTATAGTGCAATTATGATACAAGGGTAGGAAAACCAAACAGAAATGGGTAGCAATCAAGATTTGCATGTCCAAAGCCTTTGACCGAATGGATTGGACATTTTTGAGGAGTATGCTTCAAAAGATGGGTTTCCTAGATCAATGGTCCTACTAAAATTTTAAACCTAAAAATGGATTGCGGCAAGGTGATCCTCTGCCACCATACCTCTTTATCATTGGTATGCAAGGTCTAATTTATATGCCCTTGCATGCTGAAGTAAGAAAAGAGATTTAGGGTATCAAAATAGCAAAAGATGCTCCTCCAATTACACATTTATTCTTTGTGGATGATTGCTTCATATTTCACAAAGCTGAACCCACTCAAGTTCAGAAAGTGAAAGAAATAATTGAAAATTTTGGAGAGATGGTAGGGCAACAAGTTAATTTTCAAAAATAAACAATGCTCTGTAGTGAAAATATCCTAAAGAATCATCAAAGAATTATAAGGAACATTATGGGTATCAAGAAAATGAATCCCAATGACAAATATTTAGGCTCCAAGCTATGGATCGATCGACAACAAATGATGGAAAGCTTACAAGGAAATTCTCAAAAGAGTGAACTTTCACAAGTAGGCAGAACCACTCTTTTTCAAGCAATAGCTCAAGCTATTCCCTCTTATCAAATGCAAACAATTTTGTTGCTTTACAAGATTACCAAGGAGCTGGAGAAAGAAAAAAGAATAGCGGATAGGCAAAATTGGGAAGAGTCTAGTACCAAGAAGTCCTTGGGGAACCATAATTAAACCAAAAGATTGATGGAAGCTTAAGGATTAGAAATGATTAGGGGTGTTCACGGTTCAGTTCGGTGTGGTTTGGAGAAGATCTTAGACCAAATTGATAAATTACGGTTTGAAAATTTTCTAAACCAAACCCAATCGTTTTGGTATGGAAACCAAACCAAACCAAACCAAACCATTTTGTTGCAGTTTGGTGTTGTTTCTAATACGGTTTGGGGACTTTGGACCATTCTATGATTCTTTTGGGCTAAACCCAATTAGAAAGTTCAAATAACTTCCCTAAAAATTAAAACTTAAAATTTTTATTTATTATTTTATTATAAACTAAAAAGTTCATTATATATTTATAATTTTACGCATTCCATTTAGATATATTATATATAATATTTATATATCATATATTCATATTAAATATATATATATGTAATTTCAGTTTAGGATTTGATTCGGTTTATAAAATTCAATGAACCAAACCAAAACCGTAAATTACAATTTAGAAAATTCTCAAACCAAACCAAACGAAACCAAACCACAAATTCGGTTTTGCGATTTAAACCGTAATGACTTTTTTAGAAGGTTAAAACATGAGATAGCATCTATATTTTTCAAGACCCTTCGGTTTCAACAATTTACAATGGTTTGCTGAATGGTAAATTAGGCATCAAGGAGAGATACCAAAAGCTGAAAGTGAAAGACCTTTTGTTGACTCTTTTGAATATGCAGGAACCTTCTGCACGTTCCACTAGCATGATCAACCTAGAGGCTATATTGAATCAGAATGTTTCACCCTCTAGAGATGCACTTATGCTGTCTTTGTTGACGACTCTTTTGCCTCAAATTTTCTGGTTGGTATTGGCTTCATTGTGTTATCCCCAACAAAAAACGTTGTTGCAGCAATTGGGAAACATTTGAAAGTTCTCAGCCCAGAACAAGTAGAACAATGAGCCATGTTAAATGCATTGAATTGGGCTCTAAATTTTGGTCTGAAACGGGTCCAAGTCTTCACAGATTATACTACTCTAATCTCCCAAATATCCAACAAATGCAAAAGCAGAAGATGGTCGGAACAGGGACTGATTGAAGAAATTGAATATGTTGTTAAGGTTGTGTGTTGGTTGCAGTGCAATTTTATTTGCATTAGTATAAATGCATAGGAGTGCAAATAAAAAAAATGCAAGTTCTTGTTTAATTTTGTTTTAGATTTTACTTTACTATGCTTCATATCTTAATTTACTTTATTTGTACTGCAATCAAACAAAACAAGCTAAAATTTGAAACCAAAATATGTTAAAATTTACGTTCAAATTATTTGCACTAGCATGATTTTGCATCAGTGCAAATTTATTTGCACTGCAAGACTGCAACCAAACACAGCCTAATCAATTGGACAGCTGTAAAGTGATTGAAAGGGACTATAATATCATAGATTCATAGCTCATACAAGAGCCAGAAAAGCTAGGCAACAAGGTGATATGGAATATCTTGAAATTCCACCAAGCTGGCTAGGGCCTAGGGGAGCACTTCTCAGTTAAATTTGCCCATATATAGGCAGTCTGGACGTGAAGCCAAGGCATGTAAATACATGCATATATATGGCAATTGGTAAAAATTAGCACATATCTCTCATTGGTGTTCAACGATTCAAGTTGTTGTTTGAGCATTGCTAATCTCTTGGAAGTACCCATTCGATGGGCAGATCTCTTCACCTGAGTGTGACACGTGGTAAATTATTTGGGCCCAGACTTTCTGTACAGTAGTCCAGATCCAGGACTTTGCCAAATTCAACGAGAAATAACAGAACGTCAGAAATAGAGTTGCATGGTCAGGTGACTTTGTTCAAGAGAGAGAAAGCTCGAGAGGAGGAAGGGGAGTTGCAGAGAAGATCAGGGGAGGCGGTCTTCATGTCGTTTTCTTTCTTCAAGTCGTCGAGGCCCAAGACCTCATCGGAGCTCGTAAAAGCGATAAGAGAGAGTCTTCTTGCCCTCGATTCCAAGACCGTTGCCGAAGTTAAAGCTCTCGAGAAGGTTGGTTTTCTATTTCGAATTTCTAGTTTTCACTTATTTTACTGTTTCTATTGCTCCATTACTCTTTATTTTCACAATGATTGACGTCTTCGCTAAGTTCTCGACCTTGGTCCCAATTCATCTCTATCAATCTCGGGCTGATTTTGCTTTTGATTTTTTCTTTAATTTTTATATCTGGGTCTCTCAGTTTAACTTATGCGGTTTTAACTTAGCAGCCAGTCGAGTTGAATTTTGGTGTAATTTGGTGGGTACGTCTTCTTGTGATTCGTACAAATGCTTTCGTTGGGTTCTCCTCTTTAGGTCCTTTTAATTAATAATTGAATTATGTATATTGGTATACTGGTTAACATCCTCATAGAAAATGTAAAATGTATTTATGATTGCAATTGAATTCTCACTTATTTTCGGAGTTTCTTGATTGGGTTCAGGATGGATTTGTATGCAAATTCCATGGATGTGATTAGTTATATGTATTTATTTGATTACTATAGGCTTTAGAAGAGTTTCTTGATTGAGTTCAGGATGGATTTCTATGTCAAAGGATTGGCAATGTTTCCCCCTTTGATGCCAATTCAAGTTACAAAACCTCTTTATTGATCACGAGGATGTTTATCTTCTCAACCCCTTTATTCGTATTTTAAAGAAGTCACATATTTCGAAGGATCCACAATACTTTCACAAGAATTTGTATTTCAAATGATTCTTTTTTTTTCTCCATTTAAATGTTAATTAGAAAATACCTTTATCTCAAAACATAGTTCTTTCTTTCTTGATCAATGCCTCCACACCTACTTAGTCATGTGTCTAACTAGTTTAGCAGAAAGTTAGACATTGTGGTGCACCCATAATTGTATTTGTTGAAATTTAGTAACTCTTTTGGCAAGGGTTACAAGGATGATATTTTTCTTTAGCTCGTATGGTGCATATGTGCAAATGCCATTGATGTGATTGGTTATGTGTATTTATTTGATTACTATAGGCTCTAGAAGAAGTTGACAAGAATATACTGGCAATGAAGCAAATGCTATCTGGAGATGGGGAAGTTGAACCAAATATGGATCAAATTTCACAGTTTACATTTGAGATCTGCAAAGAGGATGTTTTTGGCCTTCTGGTTCTCAAGTTACCCATATTGGGATGGGAAGTAAGTACTATTTGCTATTATTGAGTAAGTGTTTAGTTGATCTCATGGCATGCAACTAATTGTGGAATGTCCAAAACAGGCAAGGAAAGATTTAGTGCATTGTTGGTGCATATTGTTGAAGCAAATGGTTGGCTCTAGTTATTGTTGTGCAGAATATATTGAGAATCATCCAGAACTACTGGACTTCCTTGTTACGTCGTAAGTTTCTAGTAATTTACAAGATAATCATTTTCCATGTAAAAAAGTTACTAATTTTTTCTTGTTATCATCTTTATTTATTTATTGTTTTTATCTTATCTTACTAGTACTAACTACACTGACTACAATACTACCACCTAAATATCAATAGAAGGGAAAAATCTTATTATAACTATTTTTTGCTATTTGCACAGTTCATCCCTTTTCTGGTGAGCTGATCTTCATGACAAATTTCAATATAAAAGTAAAAGATGGATGTTGAAAATTGATTTTCCAAAATGTGGTCTGATCCTATAGAAATAATAACTTCATGTTCTACTTCCTTTTGTAAAAGATCTGGTCTAATGGTGTATCCAATCACTCAGGAAAGTAATGTAGAATTAACTTAATACATAATAACAGATACAAAGAGAGATTATTAGCTTAGCAAGGGAGATTGGGGTGCAYTTTAAWTGGGTAAGAAGGTCAGMMAATGGAATGGCTGACACTTTAGCTAAGCAAGGAGTTACTAGGGAGGCTTTGTTTTGAGCCTGTTCGTAAGTTTTTGATTTTCTTTTTCCATCCATTTTGTGGGTGGCAAGCTTGTAATCTTTTCAATTATCTAATGAAAGTTACCGTTTCCTATAAAAAAAAAAGATACATGAAAGAATGAGAAATCAAGCATCAAATACATATAATATTCATGTCTATGGATCTTGGTGTTCTTTTCAAATTGTATAACAACTCCGAGTAACAAATTAGTCCATGTGGCTTATTTCTCCTATATGGGTGGGTAAAGAAAGTTATTTCAAGTGATAAGAATAATCAAATCCATAAGGTTGGGACAAGGCTTAGTTGAGTTAACTATGGTGCTTGTTAAGATTGTTAATAAGAATTATTTGTTCTGATTTTCAGTCAATTCATAGTATTTGTGTGCAATCATTTTACAAACTGCATGAATATTAACAAGTACAAGTTTTTTTTGAAGAATAAGCTAAATTTTTCAATAAAAATAAAAAAGAGAATACAAAAGAAAGGTGATAAGATATCATCCGAGAGAAGAGACGAGTAACTAAAGACACAAGTTTCACTACAACAGCAAACTTGTAGAGATGTAGAACAATAATGTAGTCCTCACTACTGTTTGTCTATTTATGTTACTTATTGGTAGTTGGTAGTTATTTTCTGTTTCTATTATTTCTTAGCTTATGTAAACAGTAGGGGTAATTCTGGTTTTTAACCCTGTTTAAACTATTAATATAAATAGCTGAGTGGGGCGACAATCTTGTTATGACCCACACTCTTTTTTGACTTTCTTCTCTTCGTCTTCTACTGCTCTTCTTCTTTTCTTCTTCTTCTCTTATTCTCAACTTTCTTTCTTGTTTATTTTACATTACAACTAGGACTGATTGCAGTCTTACTAGACAAGTTGGTATCAGAGCCAACCTAGGGCTTCTCATGCGAGTCTAATCAGGCCGACTACATGAGAACTTCCTAGGGTTGGAAGTTTTAGCAGAGATAAGTCAATCGGCTGGTTCTTGGAGATTGCTGGTAGAGTGCAGCAGATGCCCAAGGGATGGTATAGCCTTGGAGGGTGTCCAATGATCAGGAAGAATCAGAGGAAAGGAAGAAGTTCAAGATTAGGTTTCAGACTGTGGTTTGGAAGTGGCATCCAGACTTCTCTGAGTGAGTTTGTGTTTGTTTTTGAGATTGACTTCAACCAAAGTCTGTTTTGAATAATCTGGAAGGTGTGGCTGGGAGTTTTCTATTTTCTCCTGATTTTTTTTAGGGTTTTCTCTTGACCTACATCCAGTTCTCAGTTTTAAACCCTAAATTTATGGCTCCTGTCAATTCCTGGGTAATAGTTAGACCTGTTACAGTATTTCAGACTGAGTAATATTGGTTTCTAGGAGACTGTTAGACCTGTTCCAATATTTCTAGGTGATTGTCGAACCTATTTCATCCTTCTAGGTCGGCTGCTAGCAAGTGCTGGGTGCAATTACACCTGTTTCAGCACTAAAAGGGTTTCTTTTTTATCAATATCTTGGCAGAGATGGCAGGAATGGAGTTTAAGAATCAAAGAGAAAGTGTTTTGGGGGCTGGTGGTTCTGGTAACATGACTGAGAACACATTTCAGATAACCACTGTCAAATTTGACGGATCAAATTACTTGGAATGGGCTCAGTAAGCCATGATGGCTATTGGGGGTAGAGGGAAACTGAGCTATCTGTTGGGGGATGTGAAAGAACCATCCAAGGAGGACCCAACCTATGCCAAATGAGTTCAGGAGAACTATTTGGTTATGACTTGGCTGTGCAACTCCATGCAGCCTCACATTAGCCGAAATTACTTGTGGGCAAAAATTGCTAAGGAGATTTGGGACATCATGAAAGAAACCTACTCCTAATCACTTAATGTTGCTAAGGCCTATGAGCTGAAATGAAGTAAACAACCTTGAGCAAGGAGAGAAACCAGTACCGATTTACTTCTCCACTTTGAAATCCTTGTGGCATGAAATCGATCACCTAGAGACAATTGAGTGGGAAAGTCAAAGGGATACACAAACTCATAGAAAACAAGTTGAAAGTTGAAACCAATAGGGTTTTTGAATTCCTAGTGGGTTTGAATTCTGAATATGATATTGTGAGACAACAACTCCTCACCAGAGAAAGTGTGACTTTGTCACAAGCCTACTCTTTAGCGCACAATCAAGAAAGTAGGAGAAAGATTATGTTGCAACATCAGCCATTGGAATCAGCCTTGCAGCAGTGAAACCAAAGCTTAGGGGTGACAAGGAGAGGGATATGAAGAAGGAGGACAAGAGGGAGCTAGTGTGTGAACATTGCAAGAAACCAAAGCATACTAAAGACACCTTTTGGAAGTTACACCCACATCTAGTCCCAGCAAAGCTCAGAAACAAAAGGGGAAATGCCGATGTGGCTGTTACTACTAATGGTGCACCCTCATCTAGCACAAGAGCCACATCCCTAGATACCTTAGCTGTTGTCCGGGCTGCTCTAACTTAGTTGGAGAGTGAAGTTGGCAATTCAACAACCTTATCTCAGCCACTAGTTACAACATTTGTTATTCCCACTTCAGCATTTGCTCATTTAGGTACAACGAGCTTTAGCATATCATGCCTCAGCCCTAGGTAACATTGAACCTTGTTGGGTGATAGATTTAGGTGCATCTGACCATATGGCTGGCTTGTTCTCACTGTTTACTACTTATTACTTATCCTCTAGGCTCTAGTAGAGACAAAGTGTCTATTGCTAATGGCTCCCTTGTTCCCGTTTCTTGTAAGGGAGACATTAAATTATCTAATGGCATCTCTTTGTCCTCAGTTTTACACGTTCCTAAACTTAGTACTAACTTGCTTTCAGCTAGTAGCATCACTAAAAACCAAAATTGTTCAGTGACCTTTTTCCCTGATCAATGTGTTTTTCAGGATCTGGAGACAATGAAGGTGATTGGGATTGGCCATGAGATGAATAGAATCTACCTGCTTGGAGGGAGCTCACATGGGGAATATAGTGAAGTTGGGAGGTCTTTTGTTTTTCAGTCTGTGACTCAAGTTATGCTTTGGCATAATCGGTTAGGTCATTTATCTTTTAGGTTTTTGAAGAGTTTGTTTCCCAGTTTGTTTGAGTCAGTCTGATGTCTAGTTTGAAATGTGAAAGTTGTGAGCTTGCAAAGCATTGTAGAACAACCTGTCCTTTGAGTAATAAAAGTAGTATTCCTTTTGAAATTGTGCATATTGATGTTTGGGGACCATATCACATCACTGCTATGGGGGGATACAGATATTTCTTGTTGTTTGTTGATGACTATACTCGTTTTTCATGGGTTTACTTTATGCATTCTCGAGATGAGGTTCCTACCTTAACCCAGATCTTCCATCAAATGATTTCAACCCAGTTTGGGGTCAAAGTCAAAATTTTCAGATCCGATAATGCTATAGAGTATTTTGCAAAACCATTGGCCTCATATTTCCTTGACCATGGAATTATCCACCAGAGCACTTGTCCCCATACACCTCAGCAAAATGAAGTTGCTGAGAGGAAGAATAGGCATATATTGGAGGTGGCTAGAAGCATTATGCTTAACTCCAATGTGCCTATATGTTTCTGGGGAGATGCTATTCATATAGTTGTGTATCTCATCAACCTAGTTCCTTCACGGGTTCTAAACATGAAAGTTCCATTCACTCTATTATATTATGTAAAGAGTTGTTTAATATTCCCCTTAAGACCTTTGGATGTACTTGCTTCATTCAAATTCTTGGACCTTATCGATCCAAATTTGATCCTAAAGCTTCAAAATGCATTTTCCTTGGGTATGCACAAACTCAAAAGGGATATTGCTGTTATGAACCTACTTCTGGGAAACGGTTTGTTTCTATGGATGTCACTTTATTTGAGGATGTACCCTATTATCCTAGGGTTTCTTCTTAGGGGGAGAGTAGTGAGGTGGGGGCTTATTCATTAGAAATTCCATTACCTATCCCAATCATTGAAGGGGAGTGTAGTGAGGAGGGTTGTCAGAGGTGTCGAGATTTTAGGGTATATCACAGGCGGTGGAGGCAGGTTGATTTCGATCATCAGCAGTCTGGGCCAACTCCAATTCCCTTTGCGGATCTAGATCCAAGTACCACAGTTCCTTTATCTTCTACTACAGATGAAATACCTTCCATTGTTGAGCCTTCTCCTCCGTTGGATGATCTTAACCTTCCCATTGCAGTCCGTAAAGGGAAACGCTGTTGTACCTCATCTACAACTCATTGTATTTCTCAGTTTCTGTCTTATGATCATTTGTCTCCATCCTACAAGTCTTTCTTGGAATCCATTGTTGCTATTCCCATTCCCAAAACAATGCAAGAAGCCTTGTTAGTACCTGAGTGAAATGATGCAATGAAGGTAAAAATGGATGCTCTTCTGAAGAACAATACATGGGAGTTAGTTGATCAGCCTAAAGGGAAGAAATCGGTTGGGTGTAGATGGGTGTTTACAGTGAAGCATAAT